GAGGCTAGCGACTAGAATGGATAAGCTGCTATTAGCATCGGGGAGGCTAGCGACTAGAATGAATAAGCTGCTGTTAGCATCAGGGAGGCTAGCGACTAGAATGGATAAGCTGCTGTTAGCATCAGAGAGGCTAGCAACTAACATGGATAAGCTGGGGTTACCATCAGAAAGTAGTGATTAGCATGGAAAGGCTGGTGTTAGCTTTGGAGAGGCTAGCGGCTAGCATGGATAACCTGGCGTTAGCATCAGAGACGTTAGTGGCTAGTATARATAAGCTGGCGTTAGCATCGGCAAGGCTAGTGACTAGCATGGATAAGCTGCTGTTAGCATCGGGGAGGCTAGAGCAGATGTGCCCGAAGTGGGGCCCGTGGGCCACAACTGGCCCAACAACCCATTTGATTTGACCCACCAGCAGTTGTCAATGTTTACTAGATTGTAACCTGTCATTCCATCCATCGGCCCTGTGACTATACAAAGGGCTGTACTGCAGAACTTGGGTCACCTACCTGGCTGCTAGCTTAATCATTAAAAACAAATGGACTTTACTTAAGAAGTATTTGTATTTTGCCAGCAGCCCTCCAATASATTTTCATTTGCTGGGTTGCAGGTGATGTAGTATCCATGTCATGAAATGCAGATGGGGGAGCAGGAAGTAAATGAAGCCATGTTTCCTTCTGTTGATTCAGTGTCAAAAAGCCTAAATTCTGTGCCATGTGCAGTTGTTTCAGCCGCTCTTATCAGGAGAACTATCAGGTTTTTTTCATGTTCTAAAAGTAGTGTGTCACAAGGGAGTTAAATTTTAAAAATTTGCAGAAAAAATAGGACAAAAGTGGATCAACAACCTACGGCTAAAAACAGGAGGCGCGGAAACGAACAATGCTACAGCGACCACTTTCTAACAGGTCAGGATCATATCAGTTAAATCCTATTGTCAGATATTTTCCTGGATAGTTACTTGAATTTGTGTTTACAAAAGCTAAATAAATTATTTGCAAGTAGATCCAAGCACATAGAAATAACTGGATTAACTTGTTGTTAGCGTTAGCAATAGCATTGTTATCATAGGCTATTTAAAGAGCACAACTCACCCAGGCAGAAACAAGTCAACAGACATTTAAAGTTTCTTTGGATCCTAATCTTTGACCCAACCTGAAACTAAATAATTGTAACTTTGAGGCTTTTGAAAGCTTTCATCTGACTCATTGTAGCCTGTATAACATGAGATCTGCAGCACCAGATAGTTTATGTTGATCGCCTCAACACCAGGTAAATCCTCCAGATTATATAACATCTTATTTTATTAGGATAATATGAATCATCCTAAATGTACACATATTTTTTGCGATATCTTGTCTGCACCAGCCCATTTAGGGCATTAGCATACTCGCTGTGATCCATTTTGCCGTGTTTTGAACCAGAGCAGCAAATCACTTCTTGCCCCACATCTGACATTCATGCGTCATCCGGGTCATGTGACTGCAACCCAGCAATAGGGGGAAAAACTGGGCACCCCTGGGTACGAGACTAGCATGGATAAGTTGGCATTAGCATTGGAGTGGCTAGCAACTAGCATGCATTTCTCTTTAGTTAAATTATAGTTAAATTATGACAAAAAACAAAACTTTCAAATTGGGGCGTTTAAGTTTACTTTATTCAAAATGTTTTGTTTCTAATAAAGTTGGCGAGAAGCCTAGGCATGCTAGTTGCTAGCCTCTCCAATGCTAATGTCAGCTTATCTATGCTAGTCGCTAGCCTCTCCAATGCTAATGTCAGCTCATCTGTGCTAGTAGCTAGCCTCTCCAAAGCTAATGTCAGCTTATCTATGCTAGTCGCTAGCCTCTCCAATGCTAATGTCAGCTCATCTATGCTAGTAGCTAGCCTCTCCAATGCTAATGTCAGCTTATCTATGCTAGTAGCTAGCCTCTCCAATGCTAATGTCAGCTCATCTGTGCTAGTAGCTAGCCTCTCCAAAGCTAATGTCAGCTTATCTATGCTAGTAGCTAGCCTCTCCAATGCTAATGTCAGTTTATCCGTCCAAATTCTCTATTTTGTTTTCTAAAACACAGCTGATAGATTAAACTTTTAACGACGTTCTAATGAACTGAGATGACAGGAAAATCAACACCGAAGTTTCAAAGAAACAAATTTTCTTTTTGGCAACTCCTGAATGAATCATTGTCACACAAAAAAAACACAAAAATAAAGTTTTTCTCATTGTCGTCATCTCAAACCTCACTTCCTCAGAGTTCATCCGGTTCGTCGGAACAATTTTTAATTTTTTTAATTTCCCTTTTATAAAGGTTTTGTTGACGAGCTGCTCGTGCCGCTKTATTTATTTATTTGTTTATTTTCACTATTGCTGTGAGGCCGAAACGCCGTTGGCGATGGTGCGACTCCCAATCGCCTCGCCGCCGGTGGCGAGCGCGTACGAGGCCGGCACCGCTGCCAGAGCGGTGGCCGCCACCGCCGCGGCGCCCCCCGTGGCGGTGAGGTGCAGCGGAGTGTCGTGGACACGCGAGTAGTCCCCGTCGCACTTGGCGAGGAGGAGGTGCTGCTCCCCGGGGTGGAGCAGCGTCCGGCGGGTGAAGGTCTCGCCGTCGGCCAGACTCTCGGGGAGGGGCTGCCCCCGCGGCTCCGGCAGCAGCAGCAGGCAGATGATGCACAGCAGCGTGCAGCAGGCGAAGATCACGTGGTGCAGGAAGTAGCCCTTCTGGTTGTGGAGCTCCATGATGGGGGCGGTGAGCATCCCGAAGCCGGCGCTCGCCAGGACCAGACCCAGACCTCCGCCCCTGCAGAAACCAGATTTTTATTTTATATTTGCCTGTAAGTCCAACTTCCACCACTAGATGGAGCTTAAGACCTCACCTGATGACGGTCGGGGTGATCTCCGCACAGAAGAAGATGCTGAGCGTGCTGACGGCGTGGGAGGAGAACATGCCGATGATGGAGAACGCCACAGAGAACTTCCTGTTTAGGGTGTCTCTCAGAACTGAGAAGGGAGCGTCGGCGTTTCAATACGACTGGTAAAGTTTTGCAATTTTTAATTAATAAATAAATCACCGTACCTGTGTCGTGTCGGAGGCTGTATTTTCCGATCACTGAGGATRGAAAGGAGAGCGAGTCATTAGTGTTATGTCCTTCAGACATATTTTATTTATTTTTTGCCTTTTTCCAGATTGTTTTTGTTTATAGTTAGGTATTTTTTCCTTTGGGTTTTTTTTAAAGGAGGAAATGTAATTTTTAGAATTGTTTATTTCTTATAGTTTATTCAAAGGCTTTGATTTGTAAGCTGCCTTTCCCGCCTATAAATAGGGCTGGCCTGTGGCACTTTTTTTCCGGACAAGCCCCTAAAAATATTACGACCCAAAAAACAGAAGGGTCACAACATACGTAGAGAGGACACGGAAACAGAATTCAGGTTCAAACATTTTGGTTTTATTAATTTTTCTGGCCTTTTTGTCTTTCCTGGAACCATGCTGGGGGAAAGTGGAACCAAAACTTTGCTGCAAAAGAAAGAAAAAAAAAAAAAACACGAACCTGTTTCTACCCGTGCCCAAACTAACCAAAACTAAAGGTGTG